TCTTTTTAACATAGATGAGCCTAGAACATACATATTTAAGTACAGGAAAGGAGAAAGTTGACCGAGGTTCTGACTAATGCTTGCTCAACTGTTATTGTATAGAGAAGTTCTAAAGTTGTACTGTACCTTTTGTGTGGTGAAGCCCTCATCACTGTCCTGCCCACTAAAGAGGGAGAGAGAAATAAGCAAAGAAAAAGAAAGCATAAGATTAATTTTGCAGACCACATCACCAGTGGTTCAAGTCCCACAGACCACAGTTACTGCTAGTCTCCAGCTACAGGACTGTTAGCTGGAGAGGTGAAGTAAATCTTGCTCTGTTGCTATGGTTACATTCAGTTCAACACATCCGGCATCGGTGCGAGCAGGACGCTTATCTAGTTCTTGAATTTCCCTCGGGATAAATAAAGTATCTATCTATCTAACACACCTTTAGAACTGACTTAGAACAGTGGTTAAACTGTTGACCAGAACTAGGGTTGACATGTCCCACGACCACAGTATTATTTATTTCCCCACACACAGACAGAAACTTGCTTACTTAAGTGACTCTTCCACTGTGACCATTTCCACCGGGTAGAGCTGGACTCCAGACGGATCGTCCTGCTCTGTATTCACTCTGATACACAGAACAACCACATTATGAATTAGATTCATTTGATTCTCTTCTTTCTTTGATTATCTACAGTTCTAGTGTGCTTGGTGGGGCTAAAAACAAAACAAGTCATTTGACAAGGGAGATTCTAAGGATGATTTTTTTTTATTTGATATTCCCTCTGGCAGTGTGTTAGCTTAAAGCTGCAGCAGGTAACTTTTATAAATAACTGTCCTATTTGCTAAAACATTTACTGTATCCTGACATTAATATAAGAAAAATAGTTGAGTCTCAGTCCCAGGTTGTAAAATGGGAATCAGACTTACACTATCTTTATTGGTTTTGATTAGTTGTTTTCATTCAGCCACAGTACCATTAGGAGCACTAGGAGGGGCCAGAAGAACCTGATTTTTTCACAGATTATCTGTCTCATGTATGACAAAAAGTTAGTTTTATAAAAGTTACACGCAGCTTTAAAAACTGCTTCAAAACCTGCCAACAGATTTTGATGAAATGTGATGCCACGTAGCAAGTGACATGTGCTGGATGTGAATCCACAATTTTTTTAAGGATTCCTTAACACTGCGAAAAAGGGGCATTTTTTTTACTCATTTCCACTGCGCCTTAAGGAGAACAAGCTGACATGCAGATTATGTGTAAAAAGTTTAATGTAATAACAAGTTTTCAAGAGAAACTTTGGTGGAAGTCTTCACTGACTGTTTTTTTTTTAAGTGTTAAGTACAGAATGCTATTTATTATGAATATTAATATACAATATATTTAGTTTATACTGGATTGTGTTTCTACTACTAGTTTTAGCAGTAAGATAACATTCTAATTGTTGCATGAGACAAGAAACAAACATTTAAAATAGCACAGTTTTGGTACTGAGACAGACCAACAGTCGCTCTAACTGAACTCCACTCTGTGATCCTCAGGTGCTGTGCTGGTTCTCACCTGCTGGGGTCCTGCAGCAGCTCCACAGCCTCCTTCAGCTGGTTGATCATGTCAATGTGGAGCTCTGTGCCCCCTGTGACCTTTGACCTGGAACCCCAAAGAAATAAATTATGAGTAATGCAGATATGCTGCACTCACAGTGGAGATTATAGTGAAAGGTACATGTGAGGCACACTTGTCATTAATCCATGACTCCCTGAATGTTCTCAACCGATCAGCTGATGTAAATACAGTGTTGATACAATCAATACTATAGAACATTAAATATACATTAATACAAATTTTATTTGTATGAAATCTTGAAACTGTATTTTTCGTACCTGCCTAATCCTTACATACATGCATTTCGATAAATTATTTTCTGTTTGTTTTGTTTATAATGTATTGTTCTATTGTAATGTCTGACCTCACACCCAGAAAAAAGCTGATTCATAGAAAAACAGACAGAAATAGATAAACTTACATTTGTTCTGTTGGCCAGTGTGAGTCTTCTTCTATCCTGAGGGGCTCGTCCAATTCTGCCGCTGTCCGACCCTGCACAGAAACACACATGGAAACAAACACACAAAAAAACACACACATCAGCACTAGTTGCAGCTGTCACATGATCCACAGACTCGCTCAGCCATTGGCCAGCATTCAGAGATGTTACGACTATCCCCTGGTACACAAACACAACAATAAGGACCCTGTAACAAACTCTGTCTGTCCTCCTCCACCCTCTCCTTGTCTGGGTACAGACAGATGGCTGAGAGGACAAATCTTTTTTAGGTTGTAGAAAGTCCTCTTTCAAATAGATGTTATTTTGTATGAGGGGTTTGCAAAAAGTAATATTTTGTACATGAAGAACAAAATGCTGCACAATGGTTCAACAAGACTTACAACTGAAAGTGCAAAAAGAGACAAATCATAAGAAATCAGCAGTCATTGGTTAAGAAAACTGAAAGCTTAGCATCAAAACCTGTGCAGATTTAAACAGGAACAGCCTTCTGTTTCAGTGCACAATAATACCTCTAACAAGCTGGAATTAACAGGCCTGTTGCTTTAGTAATGCTATTTTTAAAACTTCACAACAAAAACAGAAGTTTGGTGTAGGGTTAGCAGTATTCAATATCAGCTGAATACACTATTGTTGAACCTGATTTTTAAACTGAGTAGATTGCAAAGGGCCCAAAGAAAAACAGGTTCCCACAATATTTCGAGCCCAGTTGCAGCCCCATGGTTCAGTAATGATCTCGGGTCACTGAAGCTTTTCTGGACAGGAAAACAAATTCAAAATAGGTTACAAAAGTATCCTCCACTGTCATGCAGCACTGTGGGGACATTAACTAAATGGAAGTCTTAATCATTTCATTCTTCTTATTTTGGGTCCTGTTTCTATCTCTGTTAAAACAGCCATTATTAAAGAAAGAAGTTAATACTAAAATAACAGGTGAGTCTAAACTTTTCAGTGGTAGTGGCCAGTGTCCTCTTCTTTGCGGGGGTCTGTTGGGGGCATCGGCACTGGGGGTGCCAACAAGCTTAGCAAGCTGGTGAGGAAGGCCAGCTCGGTGGTGGGGATGGAGCTGGACAGGGTGGAGTGTGACTGAGAAGAGGAATGAAAGGGAAGCTGAAAGCCAATCATGGGACAACCCATGTCATCCTCTCTACACTGAGCTGAGGCAGCGAAGGGAGCATCTCAGCTACAGACTGACCCAGCCCAAGCCTCAAAGTGGTTTGGAGGCCACAGTACCTCAAACCCCACAGACAAAGACTGGTTTTTAAAACTCCTACCTACAACGCACAAGCCTTTTTGCACTATTTATATTTAATTTCCACTTTAGTAGTTTAGTTTTAGTTTTTTAGTTTCAGTCAAATTAAATTTTCTGCTCATATTTTGCACTCCCATGTCGTACTTGAACAATGCATATGTAATATGTCATTTATAGTTTTATACTTGTAATATTAAATATATGAGAATATATATTATATATATATATATATATATATATATATCATAATGAATATATATTTTTAATTGTGATATTCTTTGTTCTCTGTTTTCTTGCCCTATTGCTGCTGTGTCAACTGAATTTCTCCTAAGGGGGATAAACAAAGGAATATCTTATCGTATCTTTATGAAAAAATCCAGTTTATTTAAACTTGGGTCTTCTTTTCCGTACTCTGGTCCATCCTTCCTATCAGTAATATGCATTGTACTTAAGATCTGGGAGCACAGTCATATGACAGGAAACAGTCTCAAGCATTTTGGTACGAAGCATAAAGGGACAGGGGGCGGTCGCCCCCAGACCCCCAGACCCCTTAGGGATTTATTTCTTTCATACATCCATCCATGTCGCTAGTGTGTTCTTCACAGTCCAATGTTGAAATCCACACAGTTCTCGTGGATGCAGATCCTAACAGCCAACTAACCTGAGTAAGTACTGTCTGTTTTAAGGCTTTATAATGTGCCCTTTGGTTAACATAAAAAAGGTCTAAAGTGCCCCTCTCACTGGTCGGACGCTATATGTGCCCCTTGTTTTTCTTCTCCGCCCCTAGCCCTTCAAATATACCACTGCTCAACAGTGATTCACAGGCTCAATGTGACGTAAGCATTTAAAACAAGACAGTCTGTCTAAGCGCTGCACTGTTAGGCCTTCAAATCAACTGACAACTTTTAGCTCTTCTTAAAGCTGCAGTAGGTAACTTTTATAAAATAACTTTTTGTCATATTCACTGAAACTTTCTCTATATCCTGACAGTAGTACAAGAGACTGATAATCTGTAAAAAAAAAAATCAGCTTTCTCTGGCTCCTCCTAGTGCATAATGGCAATTTGCAGAATACCACCAAGGTGCGCATGAAAATACAATCAGAGCTAAGAGAGACAGAAAGACGCTTTGGGTTAGAAGCTTGTAAATAGTTGATTGTTGAGTCTCATCGTTATTTCCATGACTTGATTTTCACTGGCTTTCATTGTCATGTATTAGCATTCTGCGTTGCAAGCTTCTCCAGTGTGAGGATTTGCTGTCCCTCTGTTTGATATCCTTGTAAACTGAATATTTGGGGTTTCGGGCTCTTGGTCAGACACAACAAAGACATCACATTGGGCTCCGGGATATTGTGATGAGCATTTTTCACAAATTTCTGACATTATATAGTTTAGACTATTAATTCAGTCATTGGATAATTGACAGATTAATCAATAATAATAAAAAAGAAGAACCTGTTTTTTTTTTAACAGATTATCTGTCTCTTGTACTGCTGTCAGGATAAAGTTGAAGTTTTAGCAAATATGACAAAAAGTTGTTTTTTTTTTTTAAATTACCTACTGCAGCTTTAACTGAAAGTGACATTTGGCTTTAGGCTCCTTTAAAACAGACACAGGCTTCAAGCAATCTAACAGTGTAATAAAGTAGTACAGTGACACATAACACTTTTACATAACTAGCCTTTAGTGTGGCATTATTCATGAAGTGAAGCATTTACCGCATCCATCTTTAATAATAAACAGAGTGCGGCACTAGTACATGGATTCTTGCCTTGATGTAGTTGACGAAGCGAGTGCTGAGGGCAGAGTCTCTGTAGCTGAACTGGTCCCTCAGGGCTTCCGTAGGGCTCTCCTCAATCAGACGAACCGAGTCAGAGTTTGGGTCTGCTGCAATGATGGAAACGGGAACTATGAATAACATTGTCTGAAATCACACGCTATTTACTATGGAGCAGAATTATTATAATTTTGTATTTTTCATTAGTTTTTTTAATTTTTGTTTTCAATTCAGTGTTGAACCCACATGTTTCCAGAGTGGGTTAAATCATTTCAGTTTAGTTTTTATTGTTTAAAAAGTTTTGTTTCCATTAGTGTCACCATTAGTTCTAGTTTTTATTATAATATGGGGGAAAATCTTATCGTTTTCACATTCATCTGGTGAAGAGGGAAAGCTTCTCAGTTCTCACTTTGAACTTCAGTTTAACACCTGGATGTGCCTGCTGGGTTTTGTGACATCTCAACTTGTTTTGAGCCAATCAGTGTCCAGTATGAAACTTAAAGGTCACATACACTGAGAATGGACTTTACAGTGAAGCAGAAGACATCTTGTGTCCTGCAGTTAAACTTGCGAAAAGATGTCTGAAGAGGACCTTTAAGGGACAACCAGAAACTTATTTGTGTTTTTCCAAGTTGTCCATTAGTGTCTTCTAGAAGGAGACAACTACCTCTGGAAGTCTGGTTAAATGAAAGCTTTAATCAGACTACCTCACCGACAGACCACAGTATGTCAGGCTGCACAGCTGCTTGTCAGACGTGGTGACAAGGAACTGTTCTATCACTGTTCCTGTTCACCCTCTACACCTTTGACTTCTGCTTCAACTCGGGAGCTTGCCACCTAAAGATGTTCTTGGTTGACTCCTCCATTGTCAGCTGTATCAAAAATGACAGGGAGGAGGAGTACAGAGACCTGATCAAGAACTTCATTGGATGGTACGACAGAAACCACTTACAGCTCAACACAGGAAAAACCAAGGAGCTAGTGGTGGACTTCCGGCACACCCCCATCCCCAGTTGCGATTAGGAAGGAGAGGGTAAAGATGGTGGACTACAAGTTCCTGGGGGTGACACTTAACAACAAACTGGACTGGACGGACCACAC